CATAGGTGGTAAAAAAGCGCTTTTTTAAAGAAAAGAATGATGGGAATTGATGGTGAATGTATTTTAATATTACATATGCTCGACGGAGCTTTATCAATTGATCATCCAGTACGAAGCGAAACGAAAGTTTAGCATCTATGTGAAAGCCGAGGTATTTATAATTTGTTTTCTTCGTTAGTGCCGATCCGTTGTATTTAATTTGTATTTTTGGACTTTGTACTGCTCTATGATAGATGACGAATTCGCTCTTAGTGACGTTAACTGGTTGATGCCAGTTAGTGGCATATTCATATAATTTCTTCATATCGTTGTTCATTATCCGTTCAATATCTTTTATTTGATTTTGATGATCTAAATATATCGATGGACTATACGCTATGGCCAAATCATCGACGTAAAGATGTACGTTTTCAGGTCGTTCGAAGATTAATGGTAAATCGTAGTGCGCTATAATAAATGCCATTGGTCCGAATACGCTTCCCTGAGGGGCGCCGCGGTAAATGTTTATTTTTGAAGAGAGAACTCCTTCATAATCAATAATCACTGATCTACTAGTAAAATAATTTGTTATCCAATGTAAATACGCATCTGGACACTGTAGTTTATATAGTTTGAGTACGAGGCCTTGGTACCATAACATGTCAAACGCTTGAAGAAAATCGATAAAGATAACTGGTGTGAATGTATTATAACATAATGGTTCGGTTATGTTTTGAAGTAAATGGTTAACGCGTGTCATTGTAGACATATGCGCCCGAGCGCCTGATTGTTGCCAAGGTAATATATTCATGTTATTCACCCATGTGTTAAATTTTAGTAGAAATAGGCGTTCGTAAATTTTCCCGAAAATTGGTAACAGTGATATTGGACGAATTTGATTTGTGATGGGTGCTGGGTTGTCGACTTTATTGAAGCATACAATTCTACTTTCTTTCCAGCTTTTACTCCAATAGGCTTTTGAGAAGAGTATGTTATAAGAGTCGGCAAGGAGTTTCATATAGTTTTGTGGTAGGATTTTTACCATCTTATTGGAGACTTTATCAAAACCGGCGGAGTTTTTTGTTTTCATAGATGTGATAACTTTCTTTACGTCGTTGGCTGTGAATTTCAAATCTGATTATATGCAGGCATGATGTATAGCTTCAGGGTTAGCTTGGCTTAGATTATCCCATATTTGTTGTGCTTCATGGTCAGTTTTATTGTTTATATCGATTTGTGGAGGTGCAAATCGCGCCGAAAAATGATCGTGTAAACAGTCAACTATTTCGTTTGAGGATTTGAGGATGACGTTGTTGGAGGTAATTGCTGAGAATTGAGTCGACTTCTTCTTGTTTAATATTTTGATCGTTTTCCAAAATGTTGTAGGGTTCGGGGATGCTACGTTTAATATGAACTTGTTCCAATTATCTGTTTTAAATTGACGAAGTTCGCGTTGTAAAAGTTTGTGCCATGAGCGAAGACGTAGTCTGTCTACTTCCAATTTTGAATGTCGATATTTGTTTTGTAAGTGTTGTTTATGTTTAATTAATAATCGAAGTGAGGGAGATAGTGTTGGTCGTATACGTTGACACTTATGCCAGATCGTAAGACGGTGTTTTAAAGCATTGAGTAGTTGCTGAAAAAATTCAAACCAAATGAAGGTGTCGGCTGTAGTTTTTCTTTCTTTACTCTCTAAATCATCGTAAATAATGGTTAAAATTGCCTGATATATATTCCAGTATGTCTTTGGGACATATAAAATATCATTATGAAATTCGACATTGTGGAACTCCGAGAATATTGGATAGTGATCGCTACTTTCGTATGGTAATGATCGACATTGTATATTGTAATCTGTCTGGGTTGATATTATTAGATCAATTGTAGTATCCGAGCGTAGCGAAGTTTTCATGCCTGCATTATGTACCACGAGGTTATTTTCATCTAGCCATTTGCTTAATTCATTCCCTTTTTTGTTTGTTTTGGGGCATCCCCAGTTTGCATGCTTTGAATTAAAGTCACCAACGATGATGATATTTTTGGACATAGATTTTAATAATGAAAGAGTAGTAATCGGTAATGGTTCAGTGGGTGGAGAATAGATTGACGCGATTGAATACGATTTGTGACCGATGGTGATCGTTATTGCGACTATATTGGGTTGATCAATATCGATGGATACAGTTTTTAATTTTTTATCGACTGCTAGGACGACCCCACCATGTATATTGGTACCTTCTTTTATAAATATGTTGTAAGAAAATAATAATTTTTCTAGTGTTTTACGTGGTATATTAGTGCCTAATTCATTTAAGGAGATGATCAATGGATGGTATTTGTCAATCATATCTAATAGTTCGTATTGGTTCGAGTAAAAGTATCGTATGTTGTAATGTAAGATTGACAATGGTATCGCAGGAGATTTCGGTTCTTTATAATGCTGGAGCCAACTATTGATCAATTTATCTCTCGAATAGGTCCAGCACCATTTCTGTAGAACCGATAAACCTAGTTCTGTTTGATATCTTGATGAATTGGGAGTTAATATTTCAAATTGACGAGACATTTCGGCGTATTTATAGGTATTAAATTGAATATTATTAATGTTAAGATTCATCAACATTCCAAAATATTGATTGTGATAATTCTGCATTAGTATTGCGTGATATGTGATTTATCTTTTGTTCTCGATTTTGTCGCATTTTTATTATTGATTTAGTAATATTTGTTAATTGTTCTTTTTTTCCTTGACGAGATGTTGTAATGATTTCAGTTATTGATTGTATTGCTGGTATTAATATTTCATATACATCATGTTCTAATGTATTTAATTGGTCATTGTATCTATCTATTTTAGTTTCTATCTCGCTTATTTGCGATGATAATGAAGAAATAGAAGTCGATTCGCGTGATTCTAGATTTGACATGGTTGATAATAATATTTGTTCAAGGTATTCATTTCTTTTTGTAGTTTGTTTTTCTTGTGAAGCGAGTTGTTGAGGTAGTTGTGATTGTCGATTGAGGACTGTCGAATAGTTGCCGGATGGTAGAGGTGGTGGTGCTCCGGTAAAGATTGGAACCGGAACCGGAAAATCTGCTTGATCATACTGATATTGCAGATTAGATGTGTTTATTAATAGTTTTGATCGATTTATTTTTTGTTGTTCAACTAATTGTTTACGTTTTTGCTGTACTATTGGACAAGATGGGTGACCGGCAAAGTGTTTTTGCTTACAGTTAGCACATCTAATTTCATTTTGGCAGTTGTTGGTGAGCGAATGTTGTTGTCCGCAGCGTATACATAGTTGTTGATTTGTGCAGTAGTTTGTATTATGGTCGTGACTGAAACATTTCATACACTTTTTTACTCGTATTGGTTGATAATATGTTTTGACTGGGAGTTTCATTTGACTGATGTTGATAACCTTATCTTGTAGAAGTACTTGAACTTGTTGCAATGTGTGGAAGTCCACTCTGACGCTGTTTAATTTCGTATTATTTCGTCCATACATTCTTGTTAATTTAATAAGAGATGGGTATCTCTCTTTTAATTCTTCAGCAGTTTCGAGTTCATTCCAGTTTTTAGGAAACTGTTGTACGGCTAACGAATAAGATGGTGGAAAAACTCTTGGTAGTTTTATTTCATAATCCAATTGTTGAATCTTTTTTGGCCAGTGTGATTTTTGTATTATGTCGTCGAATGTATCAACGTCATTTGCAAAAACCAATAAGCATTTGTTATATCCAAATCGGCCGGTAATATTCAAGTCTTTGTTATGTTGTTTTTTCCACCATGTGATTAGTTCATTTATCAATTGACGGTCATTCGATTTAAGTTCGTCCTTAAATTTCAATGAAAGAGGTGGAAGGTCACGCTCTTGGGCTGATGACGTCATTTGATTATTATCGTTGATGTTTCTATTTCCACATTGATTGTTGTGTGAAAAAGTTTGTGATTGTGAAAAGTTCAAGTCTTGTTCAATTGAATTTGTTCGAGGCCGTTTGTTGTTGGTTTTTAGGATTACGTCCGTCTTTGAGTTATTATCTTTCAGACTAACAACTTCAGATGTATTTTTATTACCTTCCATGCTGAGTGATAAGAAAATACTCAGAAAGACGCTTTAATGATATACATGTGGGTCAGAAAAGCAGTGAGAAGAAAAATGCGTCTGATCAGTAGCTGGTCAAACAGGCGAATGAAAATAACTTGTTATCGACAATAAACTTACTATAAGAATGATTCGATCAAAGTCATCGATTCAGAATCCAAATAATTTAATTATTCATCAATAGAGATTGTATCTATTAACAACATTGATGATCATTTTTAAATATAATCAAATGATTGATGGAAGTTTGTTGTTATTCATAAAGTTGAACATTGTTTTGTCTATCGTTTATTGGATCATTGAGTCAAAGTAAATAATAATTTTTTTCATAATTTAATCACTTTTCGTTTGTATCCTATGAGAAGAACAACTATTTTTGATACTAATTTCAAATAAAAATACAAACTATCAACTTTGACTACCATTAAAAATATTTCAACTGCTTTTGTTTTTTTTTCATTTTCTCAAGTCATTCAAACGAATACCCACACAATATTTATCTTCGTTTTTTTTAAGTATTACAATTGGAAAATGGTATGTGGGTGTGGGTGTGGGTGGGTGTGGGTGTGGGTGTGGGAGTGTGGATGTGGGTGTGGGTGGTGTGAGTGTGGGGTGTGGGTGGGTGTGGGTGTGGGTGGGTGTGGGTGTGGGTGTGGGTGTGGGTGTGGGTGTGGGTTGGGAATGGAAGGAAGGACTCACACTCACGCCCACACCCACACCCACACCCACCCACATTCACACGCACACCCCACGCCCACACCCACCCACCCACATCCACATCCACCCCCCACGCCCACACCCACCCACCCACATCCACACCCTCACACCCACATTCACACCCTTTGTCATGGTCCTACTTTTGAATCAATTTTAAGTGAATGTCTTTCACATCTTCGTCAACTTCATTATAAAATGACTCATCAAATTGCTAATCAAATCTTAATTGAAGATTTTGTTCGATGGCCAATGAATGTTACATATTATGGTTGGGAACACTGTAAATGGATACAAATTTATTCTTTACCATGGCCATCAAGTAAAAACGATAAACGACAATTACCTATTGTTAGAGTTGGAGAAGATTCATCAATATTATCAGATGTTAAAAGATCAGCCTATATGAAACATGTGATAATTACGGACGACGGTGAGGAAACTACTCCATTAATTATAGAATTTGGTAATGCTTATGAAATAATAAGTTGTTTATTGATTGATATTAAATTGCCATTTCGTATTTACAAAGTAATTTTTTCAAGGGACACACGTAAGTGTCTTTTATAAAAAAAAAAGGATAATTCCCATGTCGAGGCAAACGGTCACAGAACGCGTTCCGAACGGACAAACGTATGAAAACGCATTTCGAACACGTTTCGAACGCGTTCGACAGCGTTCCCCGTTCGGAACACGTTCTGTGACCGTTCACGTCCACTTTGTAGAGGTCATGAATTGGAATTCAATAATGGTGGTTATAAAGAAACATATATAAAAATGTTATACATACTGAAGTTTTTTCGAAAATAATTAATAAAATTTTTTATTCAACATTTGAAGTTAATAAATAAGAATATTATTTACACTCTTAGATAATTTTTTTTGATTTCTCCTCGAGTAAACAAATATTGTGATTTAGGTATTTGTTTGTTATTTCCCCGCAATTTTTTTTTTTATTTTTTTAAAATTTTCTTTAGATTTTTTTATTTTTTTAAAATTTCTTTTAGATTTTCTTTAGATTTTTAAAATTTTTTTAAAATTTTTTTCTGAAATAAAACGAGATCATAACAAATACAACACGACAACACTAGTACTAGTCTCATGATGACCAAAATGCAGCTACATCATAATATTAAAGAATTAAAAAAAAATTGCGGGGCGATGATAAACAAGTACCAAGCTTTCTTTTTAATTTTTTTCTTTTTAATCTTTTTCTCATCAAATATGAGTTTACAACCATGATAATTGCTTCGATACTATTTCATTGCGAACTTTGTTTTATTTTTTTTATTTGTTGTTTCTTTATTTGTTTTTTTTATTCCACAGGGTGGTCCAAAAGTTATCGGCCAGTCTTAAATTGCGAATAACTTTTGATAAAAACAAGATAGAGAGCTGCAACTTTCACCGTTTGAAAGAGCAATGCTTGAGCCATCAATCTGTATAAAACTCATGAAGATGAAAGACGTTTTTTAATAGAGAACTCTGAATTAAATTTGTTTTGTACACATATTTTCGTCAATTTTCACAATAATCACAACTGAAATTATGTCAAAATATAGCTAAAATCATACTTTTTTTTT